CACTGACAAATCAAAAGTGAGACGGATGACACAACCGCCCCCCGTACTTGCTTGTTACCACATTCCACCCGGCCACAATAAAAAAACGGCCATTATTCACCTCCGCCGACTCTGACACCGGCCAAAATATGATACCCAGCAGTTAATTAAATACAGGCTAATATTAGAGGATTTATGGTAAATAAAAAATTCAAGAGCATATTTTAGCCAAGAAAGCTCATTAGCAAAGTCTAATTTAAGGCTTCTATAGGAGAACAACTCAACAACAAGCAGACATGTTTCAAACTTTTATTAAAGTGCTCTGATCCTGGATCTGGGAAGGTTCTGGAGTAGCTGGTCTGAGGATCTGGAGAGTGATGATGGAGAAGCAAGACAGAACATCTTCAGGAGCTCCTGTAAGAAAAGTATAACAATAGTAAATACTTAAAGTGGATGAGCTTAAGAAGAAGGGAGTTTTGGACAGAAAGAGCACTGATGTTCCAGCTGGACTCACGAGCCACACAACGAGGACAGACTGATACGTGGCGCCATCTAGTGGCCAAACTTTTAAATAATCATCAGGTCTTACTAAAACTGCGTTTCTGCCTTTTACAGGTGGATAGAAAAAATAATAATGTTGACACATTGTTGGTAATATTACTACATTTCAAGGCTTTATCTATACAGTGAAATTAGTTGAAACAGAGCATAAATGTATTCAAGGGCGTAGGAACGAGTTTAATATTGGGGGGGACACATTTTGGAAATCTAACAAATCTGTTGTCAATATATACCGTAGGTCAACTTCACTGAAAAAAAGACATTAAATGATTATTTCTGATTCTAACGTGTCACTGAGTGTTTCATGCAGGCTGAACATGAACATATTCTCCTGCCGCTATCTCCTGCATTAGCTTCTGATAGAAAATCTGATAGATGGTGAAACTCTAGGATTAGAAAAGTCTGACAGATGTGACTCAGGGTGTAAGGCAAAGCCCAGAAAGACAAGAAAATAACTTTTATAGCCCAGTTCACTAACATTCTGGGTTTTTTTTTTGATCGGGGACCCATGAACCAGCCAGAAGGGGAGGAGACTTATGGGCTATTCCAATCTGTACCGGGTCGGCCCGGGCCGGGTAGCGTAGGTTGTTTACATATCTGGGTGGCCTGGTATTTTTCCGGGCCAACCAAGGCTCATTCTCAGCCCTCTTCTCGAGGGGGTCTGCTTCAGGCCGACCAGGGCCAACACACCCACTGCTGACAGTAAACTCACACCTTCCATTAGAGCAAGCCTCTGATTGGTGAGTAGAATCAGCCCACATGGGCTTAAGACAAGGATGTGTGGAATCAACCGGGCCAGGCTGGGGCCGACTGGGGCTACCCGGCACGGGCTGACCCGGTACAGATGGGAATGGCCCATTAGGCTCCTTTTGACACTGTAGACCACAACGTACTACTAAACAGGTTAAAGGCCCTGGCTGGGATTTCAGGTTCTGCTCTAGACTGGCTCTCTTCTTATCTCACCAACAGAACATTCACAGTGAAGTCCAAAACCTTCTCTTCAGACACTGCCTCTCTAACATGCGGGGTCCCACAAGGTTCAGTTCTAGGGCCTCTACTATTCGCATTCTATATTCTTCCCCTAGCTGGCATCATTCAGTCTTTCCCAGACATCTCCTACCACATCTACGCTGATGATATGCAGCTCTATATGTCCTTTATGCCACACCAGTTGGACAGGCTGGCCACACTTGTACTCTGCCTGACCCAGATCAGTAACTGGCTGTCCAGCAACTTTCTTGTTCTCAATGCTAACAAGACAGAGACCCTGATCGCTGCACCCCCGGAACTTCAGCCAAAAATCGAGCAAGAAATTGCCTCTTTTTGCCCATCAGCCAAGGCCAACATTAGAAACCTAGGAGTTATTTTTGATCCAGCTTTAAGTTTAGACTCACACGTCAAAACCATCTCCCGCTCTTGTTTCTTTCAACTGAGAAACATTTCAAAAGTCCGTAAACTGGTTTCTACTGCAGATCTGGAAAAAATCGTCCATGCCTTTGTGTCATCACGCTTAGACTACTGTAACACTCTTTTTACTGGTCTCAGCAAAACCTCCCTCTCACGCCTTCAAGCCATCCAAAATGCAGCAGCCAGACTCCTAACCAAATCCAGCAGACGAGCTCACATCACTCCAGTTTTACAGTCCCTCCACTGGCTCCCGGTAGAATATAGAATACAGTTTAAAGTTTTAGTCCTGACCTATAGAGCTCTTAACAACCAGGCTCCAAGCTACCTATCTGAGCTTTTATCCCCACACACCACCTCACGGAACCTTAGATCCACATCTGAAAACCTCCTGGCTGTTCCTCGAACCAGACTGAAAACCAAAGGGGACAGGGCCTTTCAGACTATTGCAGCCAGACTTTGGAACAGTCTACCTTCAAATCTCTGTCTCTCTAACACTGTAGAGGTTTTTAAAAATCATCTAAAAACTCACCTTTTCATCCAGGCGTTCCCTCCCTAAATGTTCAAAAAGATGGCTTTGTTTGGGTTCACACCTTCACTTTGTTTATACTCATGATTTTATTTTCTACGTTTAACACTGCTATTGTTTTTCTGATGTTTTTTATTTGCCCTGATCTTTATCATGTTGTACAGCGCTTTGTGATTTATATCTGTGAAAGGTGCTCTATAAATAAACTTTTACTTACTTACTTACTTACTTTTACTTACTTACTTACTCCCCATTAGCCGGATCCAGGTGATTACCGGCCAACGTGGACGTTTTAATTATAAAAAAGCTGTTTATGTGTCAGTAGTGTTTTATTTTTATTTAATAATATGAATGTAGGATATATTTTAATAATATGAATGTATGTATGTAATATGTAATATGTAATCAATTTCCCTCTGGGATTAATAAAGTATTTTTGAATTGAATTTGAATTGAATTATAGGATATATTTTAATAATATGAATGTAGGATATATTTTAATAATATGAATGTAGGATATACTTTAATAATATGAATGTATGTATGTAATATGTAATATGTAATCAATTTCCCTCTGGGATTAATAAAGTATTTTTGAATTGAATTTGAATTGAATTGAATTGTAGGATATATTTTAATAATATGAATGTAGGACATATTTTAATAATATGAATGTAGGATATATTTTAATAATATGAATGTAGGATATATTATCTTATTCATATGGGTAGAGATGTGTAAACAGATTTAATACAAGACTAAAGCTGTGAATATTCAGTCTGAATTGATCTGACTCTCATCAGAATATTTTAAACTACATCAGCCAACAATGCTGACCAACAATCAGAAAAATCTGTTTGTTTCTGACAGAATGAAAAAAGAAATAATTCACTTACAACAACAGCTGGAACTACGTTAATTTTCAGATGGACAAAAGAAACAAACAGTGGCCAAAATTGCAGTCTAAATGCACCAGAAAGCAGAGTTTAACACTTATTTTTCTAATATTTCTAAGGGAGTGTGTACAGAATGTAATTTATTCTTAAACCGTACTGCCCAGCCCTACTTGTAATGGAATTACATATATTTAACTGTGTTCACTTATTATTACATTCAAATCTTCCTCTCATCAGTAACCTAAAACCATCTCATTCTTCACTGTAGCACCTACCTGCACCTCAGCAGGTCTGGCTCTCCCTGTCTCACCCTCAGCAGGTCTGGTGCTCCCTGTCTCACCCTCAGCAGGTCTGGTGCTCCCTGTCTCACCCTCAGCAGGTCTGGCTCTCCCTGTCTCACTCTCAGCAGGTCTGGCTCTCCCTGTCTCACCCTCAACTGGTTCCTGCTGAACTTCATCTCTAATATAAAAACAGTGGACATGAATAAGGAGTAAAAATACTGTTGGACGACTAGTGCAACATTAAAATCATGGTTGTTGTAGTATTATTTAGTCGTGCTCACTTGTTATCATGCTCGAATCTTCCTCTCGTCATCAACCATCTAAAATCTCACTCCACTGTAGCACCTACCTGCACCTCACCAGGTCTGGCTCTCCCTGTCTCACCCTCAGCAGGTCTGGCGCTGCCTGTCTCACCTTCTTCATCATTTCCTGCTGAACTTCCTTTGGTCTCTTAAATGAAAAAAGTGACATGAATAAGGTTTAAAAATGAAATGTGATGAGAATGTCACAAACAAGCAACAATCACACTTACAAACTCCATTTTTATGTGGAGATTCTACTTTTTTATTTATTTCGTGTCAAATGGTTTTTGTCTGTTACTGTAAAATTCGCCATTTTTTGTTGACTAGTAGTGTTGTTTAATGTTTAATGCTAACTAGCAAGATGTTTACGCTAGTCAGCCATTTTAGCGTTTGACCAGGAATACAATTATACTCTTGGACTAAATTATTACCAACTCACAATTCCTTTCTTTCTTTTTTTGCCCATGAGAAGAACTCTGAGCTGCTGCCGTCTGTCTCAGACACCTGTGTCTGCCCCGGCTCTTGACTCCTGCTTCACTCAGCCAGCCTGTCTAACTCCCTGAGGGGAGGGGCTGTGTCGAAGAGAAGTCCACGGTGTCTTTCAAAATAAAAGCTCGCGAGTCAAATATTTCAAAATCAACCTTTTTCTTCTCCATGTTATTGGGGGGGACAAATGCGCGTTTGTCCAATATTGGAGGGGACACGTCCCCCCCCCCCCCCCCCCCCCCCGGTCCTACGCCCTTGAATGTATTAGAAAACAGTAGTCTGCACAGCCCCACAGCCCGGCGAATCTGTGATGAATTAGTGCTGCCTTAACCTCCTCTTCTTTCATTGGGTCACTGGAGTTTAAATTGAATAGATGAGAAACCCATGGGGAGGGCTCTGCATAAATGAGAGTAAAGTTGAATTTTAAATGTGTGAAAACTGTCACAAAGTGGCGTTAAAAACAACGTTTTATGTCACAGAGCGGTGAAAAAAGCAATTCAATTCAAAAATACTTTATTAATCCCAGAGGGAAATTGATGTTGTGCTAGGAGGGAAGGCTTGACGCCTTCTTTAGACAGCGAGTATGGGATTAGATTTGTGCCAATAGGATCAAGAAAAACACTTTGGAGAGCAAACAAATTTTAAGACATTGAGAGAAAAAACATTGGTTTCAAAAGAAAAACTTACGATCTGAATCAGATTCTTAAAATGATCAAGAAAAACACTTTGACGGTCAAACAAAAATTAAAAAATTGACAAAACAAAAATATTGACTAAAGGAAAAAAAAACATGTTTCAAAAGTAAAACTTACTTTCTGAATCAACTTCTTAAAATGAGTAACAAAGTATGTTTCCTTTTTCTGTTTGCCTCTATGTGTTTTTGTTATCAATTTCCTTAGTTTTGTTCTCGCTGCTCAGAGCTTTACTCTCATTACCAGATTTGCACTTACACTGTCTGGCTTTCTCCTTTGCAATCCCTGAGTTTTTGGTTGCAATTCTGACACAACCCTTTCGGGTGGGCGGGACTTCTGAGAAGTCCTCTCCCATAGGACAGTGGTTTCTCTAGAGTGACAGTTCAGTGACTTGGAAGTGATGTAGCCTCCAAGACATTTTTTTTCTACCTGGTCAACAACATGAATTGTGAGCCTCAAACACGTTATTTCTGCTGTCTGTGGTGTCTACTGAGGATCTAAAGTGAGTATTGGTAATACATTTTATCTTTTCTTAGTTAATCTGTAAGTTAAACCACTTTTTAAGTTGGTTTTAAGCAGACGTTAGCTCACTAGCTAGCTGCTAAGCAAGCCATTGTGCTAGCCTCAGGACAATGTTCTATTGTTCCAGAGAGACGTATTAAAAACTCATCTTAACATATTCATTACTGGTTTCATGGAATTAATTATTGCAGTTTATGTTAATAAGTTTGCTAATTTTTCAGGAACCTGTGGAACATCAGAGACTTTGCAGCTATTAGAGCTAACCTGTGTACTGCTTACTTGCTACTGAAGAAGCAGCAGAAAGCTGAGCTAACAGGCTGTTTTGCAGGTAAATACTCTTTTAGTGGAACTGCAGGACTTTTATGGTATAACTCAGACAGAATCTACATGAGCTATTGTGGGAAGACATTTAAACTACATTTACATACAGATAAATTTATTTTTTATTCCATGTTACTTGGATGGGCTAAACAAGTTCATAGTTCTGCCTGCTCCTTTTTCAGTGAAACGAATGGATTTTATGATGTAACTCAGACTGAATAATTATCTAAGTGAGTATGTTTGATAATAAATTTCTTTCCAGTATACAGATCTGACATTTGTTTGTCAGAACAAGACAAATCAGATTCAATGTGCTTTCTGTCACGTGTTCTATATTCTCCATCAAAAGAATATTATCCAAGGCAGATAATCAATAATGAGTTTAATACATGCTTTTAATTAATTTTTACATAAAATCTATATTTTTGTCTAAAAGCTATTTTAGACTGGCTTTCTCAGTCCTAGCACCGTTACTCTGGAACCAGTTGCCACCCTCAGTTAGGCTGTCCCCCTCTCTGCTAGTCTTTAAGAATCACCTAAAAACACACCTCCTCTGCTTGGCGTTTCCAGAACATGTTTGATTTTGGCCCTCTTTTATGTTGAATTTATTTCAGTTTTCATTGGTTCACTCAATCCATCCACTCAATCCAAATGTGTTTCACACATTTGTCCTGTACCAGAGTGTTTCATCTATCTTGTAATTTCCATTTTGTATTTTGTAATTTGTATTTTGTAATTTGAATTGCTTTTATTGTTGATTTATTCAATATATTTACCTACAACTGTACCATGTTCAGCGCTTTGGGCTTCCTGACAGGGTTGCTGAAGGTGCTTTATAAATAAAGCTTGATTGATTGATTTTTTATTTATTTGTTCTTTCTTTTTAGATTGAAAACTACTGCATTGCATTACAATGGAAGTGCTACACGGCCACATGCATCAACTGCAGCTGGTGAGCTAAGACACACCATAGTGTACACAAAGTACACTGCAGACAAGGGATGTAAGAAAATATCAATATGACAATATATCGCGATATATTTTCCCAGTGATATTGTATCGATATTCTCAAACTGTGTCTCTAAAATATCGATATGGCAATATATCGTGATATTTTTTCCTGAGATATTACATCCATTTTCAAAAGCTGTGTATCTAGTTTTTGGAAGAATTTACATGCAAACATTTTTGTATTTTTTTTGTTTTTGGTGCACTTTAAATGTCGACCGCTAGTCGGCAGCAGTGTGCATTGGGTTTTGTTTCCACCATTGAAATTTAAATCTCGCTATTATGGTTCAGATAAAGCCGGGCGTACACTGTGCGACTTTTTCACTCGCAGCGTTCAGCTCCAGCTCACACTGTACGACTTCCTCGCAGGGCAGATCTCACGAGTCAGGCGCTCACACTGTACGACCCAGTTCTCGGATGCGACCTGACTGCTCACACTGTACGTCTGGTAGCAACATGTCGGCCCTAAAAATGTGCTAAAAATAGCAGTTTTTACTCAACACGTCAGACGTTTTTGTCTTGTTTTGCCTGTTGTCCTTCGGGAGTGCTGCAGGAGGACACACAGGGATTTATGGGGGTTGGATGAGGAAAACGAAATAAAGAAAGTAAATCTGTGTTTTGTGATCAGTTTAATTTGACATGAACACGACAAACACGCTTTCTTGACAATTCTCAAACGTGTAGAAACAAAAACGAACAGCGTGTGTTATTAGGGAAATAGCGAGCGAGCGGCGTTGATGCATGATTGCGCATGCGGCGTGAGCGGTTCTGATACTTTTTGGGTCGCAGCTGCTCGCAGCGCCACTTCAACAGTGCGATACCCTCACGAGGGACGAGCTAAATATTAAACACGCCAGAAGTCCGTGCGACCTCACGATTGCTTATCGGCAGCTGGTCACGTGGTGTTAATCGCCTCTCGTAACCCCCTGTACACTACACGACCGCTCGGCGCAAAACTCGCCCCGATGTCGTGGATTCTCGCACGACTGGAAAATCGGCTCAAAAAAGTGAAAAAGTCGCACAGTGTACACCCGGCTTAACTCATGTTACATATGTTAAGTATCAGTTTGGACTGTTTATTGAATATTCCTACAATAAATTCAGTCAAAAATACACATCCCTACTGCAGACCAATCCCACCTCATGTAGTTCATATGCTGTATAATAAACCCACAGTGATGGTTATGGATAAATATCTGTACTAATGGTAATCTTTTTCCATTGTTTCCAGTTGACAAGCATATGGACCTATTGTTCGAGTCCGTGGTGGTGGATGCTCTATCATATCAGGAGTCTGTGGTGGTGGATGCTCTACCATATCAGGAGTCTGTGGTGGTGGATGCTCTACCATATCAGGAGTCTGTGGTGGTGGATGCTCTATCATATCAGGAGTCTGTGGTGGTGGATGCTCTACCATATCAGGAGTCTGTGGTGGTGGATGCTCTACCATATCAGGAGTCTGTGGTGGTGGATGCTCTACCATATCAGGAGTCTGACTAAGTACCTGTGCCTGAACCTCTCTGTGTCTAGTTCAAAAGACCTGCTGTAAGCAGGCACAGGTTAAGATTTTAAAAGAACCTGTAAGGTGAGCAACACAACACAATATAAATCTTTATTATTATTGTACGCTGTACAGCTAGAATAAACTTGCATGCTCAGAAGCCACGTATGATTACATCGCCTACAGGTTGCCTGATGCTGAACTTCGGGCAGCTGCGTGTGACTGTACTCCCGAGGAACAACCGCCTGTTGGAGGAGTCGTTGTGTTGCTGTCAGGAGTTTGGGTCGGAGTCCTGGGTTTGTGTTCCCTTTAATCTCTTCATTAGCCTTGCTAGTCACCATTGCAGAGCACCATGGAGAGGCTTACCTGAAAACTCTTCTCATGGGGCAGGCACATCCTCACACACCTGTAACCCCATCCTTCAATAAAAGCTGGTAGCTGGTCACTCAAGAGTGTTTTAACCCATATCTAGCCCATGACTCTGCCGTTTTTCAAACTTACGTTCTCATGTTCTATGCAGATCTATGGGAATTCTTTCCTTGAAGCTCCTGATCACACAACCATACTGGCAGTCTGCTTACCCACTACCTTCTGCTCACCCGCTTGCAACTCATGCTGTCATTCTCCCAGACTTCTGGTTGTTGCTCCACCATTCTGCTGTCTCCCGTCTGCTCTACAATTTCAGACCGTAAGTACCTAAACTTTTCCTTTTGTAAGTCATTCTTTAGTCATTACTAACACTCAAATTTACCTCAGGGCCTTCTGATCTTTAAACACTAAAACCTGTGGCTCCATCTCTGTGGCGTTTCTCAGTCTCTGTAAGCTACCTGCACAGTCTAAGAAAAACCTGACCTGTTGCCTCTTACTAACCTCTGCTCTTCCTCGCAGAAGCTTCTGGTTCCTGATCTCCAGCTGTTACCTCTTCAGTCATCCGTCAAACATTTTAGTAAACTGTTTTAGCTCATTTGTCTCCTGAGTTTCTCTGCATGAAGGTCAGGTTGTTGCAAAAATTATGACATCAGCAAATACTTTGCACCACTCTGTTAAACAGCTGATATTAATTTCAAGTGTATCTTTAAAAATACATTGAATGTCAAAGTGAATGAAAGGCATCCATTCAGCTTTCAGTGTCTAATGCAGGATTTTATGGACAGGCACCAAAACAGGACATTTATAAATTGAGATTTATTTATTAAATCAGGTAAACCATAATAAAATACTAATGTTTAAAGTCCGGAGGAGGGAGGAAGGCTTTATAGCAGGGGTATTCAATTCTAGTCCTGGATGGCTGGTATCCAGCACGTTTTAGTTGTTTCCCTGCTCCAACACACTTGAATCAGGGGTTGAATTACCTGTGCAGCAGCTCTGCAGAAGCCTGTTAATTATCTGCTGACTGAAATCAGGTGTGTTGAAACAGAGTTAAAACTGAAACGTGCTGGATACCGGCCCTCCAGGCCCAGAAGTAAATACCCCTGCTTTATAGGCACAGAGAACTCCATCAGGATCCTGGAGACGGCACAAGGAGATGACGACATGAGTGTGCCCTCCCATATCACACCAACACCACCTGACCACATGGAGGCATGTGTCTGTAAGAAAGAAAAACTGGTGATGTATGAGATCTAAACAAAATCTATGAACAAAATCAATTTTACAGTTGTTTAACCTGCTGAGCATCGCCTCCCCAAAGAGCAGCACAAAGGTGCAACTGGCTCAGAACCAGGGTGCTCCGTTAAGCAGGTGGTCACCTCCTCCTGCTGACACCCGAGGATTGCCTACAACAAAGGGAAAACTGATATCAATAAGGAAATAATTAAATCAGAGCTAAAAGTTTAATTTTAGTGTGATGTTTGAGATTGTGGGAAATAAATGTGGACATTATGATTTTCTATTGTGGGGTCAGTACCTTGGGCGTTTCTCTGCAGCAACATTTTGTCTGGCTGACAATGAAGTAGAAAAGTCACCAGTTGAGGCAGAGTTAGACTATATTAATCCAGCTAAGCTAAATGTAGCTAAACTAGACACTAGTCACCAGACTATGGTTACTATAGATTTACTAGAGAGTTACATCATATAATCCATTCGTTTCACTGAAAAAGGAGCAGGCAGAACTATGAACTTGTTTAGCCTGTCCAAGTAACATGGAATAAAAAATGCATATATATATATATATATATATATATATATATATATATATATATATATATATATATGTGTGTGTGTGTGTGTGTGTGTGTGTGTGTGTGTGTGTGTGTGTGTGTGTGTAAATGTAGTTTAAAAGTCTTCCCACAATAGCTCATGTAGATTCTGTTTGAGTTATACCATGAAAATCCTGCAGTTCCACTAAAAGAGCATTTACCTTCAAAACAGCCTGTTAGCTCAGCTTTCTGCTGCTTCCTCTGTAGCAAGTTAGTAGTACACAGGTTAGCTCTAATAGCTGCAAAGTCTCTGATGTTCCACAGGTTCCTGAAAAATTAGCAAACTTATTAACATAAACTGCAATAATTTATTCCATGAAACCAGTAATGAATATGTTAAGATGAGTTTTTAATACGTCTCTCTCGAACAGTAGACCATTGTCCTGAGGCTAGCACAATGGCTTGCTTAGCAGCTAGCTAGTGAGGTAACGTCTGCTTAAAACCAACTTAAAAAGTGGTTTAACTTACAGATTAACTAAGAAAAGATAAAATATATTACCAATACTCACTTTAGATCCTCAGTAGACACCACAGACAGCAGAAATAACGTGTTTGGGGCTCAAAATTCATGTTATTGACCAGGTGGAAAAAAAAAATGTCTTGGAGGCTACATCACGTCCGGGTCACTGAACTGTCACTCTAGAGAAACCACTGTCCTATGGGAGAGGACTTCTCAGAAGTCCCGCCCACCCGAAAGGGTTGTGTCAGAATTGCAACCAAAAACTCAGGGATTGCAAAGGAGAAAGCCAGACAGTGTAAGTGCAAATCTGGTAGTGAGAGCAAAGCTCTGAGCAGCAAGAACAAAACTAAGGAAATTGATAACAAAAACACATAGAGGCAAACAGAAAAAGGAAACACACTTTGTTACTCATTTTAAGAAGTTTATTCAGATAGTAAATTTTACTTTTGAAACATGTTTTTTTCCTTTAGTCAATATTTTTGTTCTGTCAATTTTTTAATTTTTGTTTGACCGTCAAAGTGTTTTTCTTGATCATTTTAAGAATCTGATTCAGATCGTAAGTTTTTCTTTTGAAACCAATGTTTTTTCTCTCAATGTCTTAAAATTTGTTTGCTCTCCAAAGTGTTTTTCTTGATCCTATTGGCACAAATCTAATCCCATAAGCGAGGGCTGGGCATAGTGGATGCCGAAACCACGCCGATATCTGCCGCTACGGACTCAGGCAGTTGGACTTATGTTTTGGACTTACCGCCGTCCTCGCAAGCTGCACCCTGGGGCGTTGGAAGCTCAGACCCCGGGGAGGGGGTCACCACATCTGAGACAGCTAAGTACCGCTGCTTGTGTGACTCATGCTGGACTGTTGGTTTTAGGAGAGAGGGCTTGGGCCATGGTGTTTTATTGTTGTGTGTCATTGTTCGTGTAATAAAGCGTGTCTTTTATAAGTTGTTGCCTACTGGTGGTGTTTTCGGGTTCTGTCTTGAGGGCAAGATATTCTGCCCGTGCTGCCCACTTCTACTTTCATTACACTATTTAACTGTCTTCGTCGCCGGCAGCCCTACCCGACTGCGAACGACCCCACCCCCCAAAGTCCGATGCCACACTGACAGGTCAACCACGCACACCTCTCAGAAGGCCTGTCACCTTTTTATCCTCCCTGGCCTCGTTATGGATAACGAGGACCAGCTGTTGTCCAATCACCACACCCTCAGAGCCCGGCAGCTTCCGTCTTCTGCCCATCACAGTAATATATCACACACACCTAGTGCCACAAAACAACTTAATAATGCACAAAATAACCTAATAACTGTGTATAGTAGTGTGGATCCTACTTACCGGTGTTAGTCCGTTTCTCCCAATCAATATGTACTGTAAATCCTCTAATACAGGCCGGTATTCAATTAAAGGCCGGGTCTCCAATTTTGGCCGGTGTCGGAGTCGGCGGAGGTGAATAAAGGCCGGTCTCTTATTGTGGCCGGGTGGAATGTGGTAACAAGCAAGTACGGGGGGCGGTTGTGTCATCGTCTCACTTTTGATTTGCCAGTGATAGACTGCGAGGGTAACTTTAACCGTGCAGAGATGAAGAGGAGGCTGTGCCAGAGCGTCGGTACTGACACGCGATCGTTCATGTCGGTTCATTTCCTTTAAAGATTTCTGTCTTTTATTTGCGCCTGATGTGTTTTGCTGCATGCTGTGGAGCGGGGCACACCAGCTTGTCCTCCGGTGACGCACCGATCACTGATGCGCCCGCCAAGCACGGAGTACTCCGCTGTTTTTGCGGTAGATCTGCCTCCTGAGCATGGCCACAGTAACAATCAGGTGTCGCCACATTTAACACGCGATCGTTCATGTCGGTTCATTTCCTTTAAAGATTTCTGTCTTTTATTTGCGCCTGATGTGTTTTGCTGCATGCTGTGGAGCGGGGCACATCAGCTTGTCCTCCAGTGACGCACCGATCACTGATGCGCCCGCCAAGCACGGAGCACTCCGCTGTTTTTGCGGTCGGTAGATCTGCCTCCTGAGCACGGCCACAGTAACAATCAGGTGTCGCCACATTTAACACACGATTGTTCATGTCGGTTCATTTCCTTTGATGTTTTCTGTCTTTTATTTGCGCCTAATGCGTTTTGCTGTGGAGCAGGGCGCATCACCTTGTCATCCGGTGACGCACCGATCACGCAGCCACCAAGCAGCGAGCACTCTGCTGTTTTTGCGGTCGGTAGTGTTGCGAGTCCCACATGCCAAAGACAGTGGCAAGTACGGGGTCAAAAGGTGAGCCACACTGGACTGGCTTGTGCGAGCAAAATCAGCCAGCCGACAGGAGCTGGGCTGCAGGTCAAAAAAACTGTGGTCAGAAACAAGGGTCACACAAGGGTCACAGGGACGAGAGGACAGAACTGGGCAAAAGGTCAGGTTGACTGACCCAACCTCTTTGCCCCACCCCTGGCTTGGAAAGATGGGATTGGAGGAGAACAGAGTGAAGACAAGCCCATCAGATCCAGAAGCCCTCTCGGGAACATTGGAGAGAAACTGAAGAATGCTGCAAAAGATGATGTAATGACCTGTGTTAAGAAGAATGCTGCATGTAGTGAAAATGACACCAAATGTTTTGTGTTGAGCTACAAAGTGTGTATCTGGTAAATGACCCCATGACCTTAAGCTGGCCCAGGAAGGGTATATAAGAACAGCTCTGAACAGCAGAGGAGAGATTCGACAGCAGCTGGGGCAGAAGACAAGAAGAGACAGAGCAGATTTGGAGGGGTCATCCCCCGTCCAAACCTGGATGGGGGATGACAGGAGGACTCTTGGAAGAGGAGATTTGGTTCAGTTTTTGGGGAGATCCTGAGAAGACAGGAGCTTGTGTAAACTAACTCTTATTTAATCATTTTGAACTAATTCCTCCGTGGGGGATAGCAGTTGTTTTTCACTTTACCCATTTTTGTATTTTGATTTTGTAATAAACCTTTTTTTGAAAAAGAAACATAATCCTGATTCTTTCAGGTTTTCTCTAAAGCTTCACGTTTGGAGCCCTGGCCATAAATTGCACAGAGGTAAGCATATCGATGATCGGTCTCTGAATTATCGGGACTTACTTTGCAGTTTATAATAGAATAATGTAAAGAAACCTTAAGATAAGGGAAGTTTTAACTTCCCCCTCCTTGCGAGTAACGAGTTGTCTTAAGGGCGATAAAAGCAGAATATTCGAGGTTATTTTGGCTCTGATTGCAGGTTGAAAAAGTCTCTAATCAGCTGGAAGGTTGGATTAATAAATAAATTGATAAACTTATGATAGCCTGATCAACTAGCATAAATCATTTTATAGTTACCAACCTCCCACATAAGCTGTTAGAGGCGCAATTAATTCCGGGTGACCCAAACAATTGCTGAGAGGCTTGGCTTGCCTCCAGACTTCTCTCTAGTATCTTAACCAAAAGGTAACGAGTTTAAAAGAAGTGTAGTACTCTGGGGCTGGCTATTCGTACAAGTCATTTCACCTTTAAAATAAAAGACAAGATTCTAATTAGATGGTCCAAACCAGGATCTAGTACAATTATACTCGCCGACATCCCCTCGAACCCTGATGGATGCACCGTCTCATAAGTTCTAACGGAACTGGGTTTTAAAGGAACCGGTAAATGGGACGGGCACGCGACATGGCGCACCAATGTGGGGCTACAGAGCGAAGGTTCAAATATTAGATACCGGACTATTCGACGTAGAACTATGTCTTTTAGGCTGATAAAAGCTTACGCACCATGGACCGGATAAGCTTATAACCTTGGAGTGAAAACCGCACCAATTTCTCGAAAAGGAAAGAAATTTGGGAGAACGGAAGATTAACTCAAAGAGGTATAAAGAAATCACGGCTTTCCGACGTAAGAAAAGCCAAGGATAAAAGCTAGGCAAAAAATAAAAAGGAATAAAGAGTAAGAATAAAGAATAAAACGTGAAAACGAATAAAAATAAAATAAATAATAAAAAAGAGAAACTTTCAACCAGCCATGGCAGATAGATCTTTAACTGTAAAACCGGAAAATGTTCTCCTTAATGTGAGATTTGTCACCGGAGAAATAGCGACATTTCAAGGTGAACCACAAAGCGTTTTAGCAGTATCCTGTAACCGGAGCTTTCAGAACGAGGCCGGCACAGCTCAAGCCGCAGCGGAGCGCTGTCCGAATGCTGAAACTCAAGTAAAGAATAATCATGTATTTCCGTTAGTGGGTGATTTGGTGATTCTAGCAGAACAACAAAATGATCCTGTTTTTAATCAGATAGCGTGGTGTTGTTGGGAAAATCCAGCGAAACTCCCCACGGGCGAGCAATATGAGATCCTTCTGGGATTGCATTAAGCATAACGTAAGTGGTCCCTTCATAATAAAAGACGTAACTGGGAACGTGGTTTTAACTGACACTGGTTTGCACGTTCACCCTCATCAAGTTATAAAATAACTATGAAAAATAAAATTAATTAATTAAAAGAAAAAAATAAAATAAAATGAAAAAATTTTTTTTTTTAATTAATTACTTGATTGAAGGTCATGGCTGGGCCAAAATCTAGTGAAGGAATGACTTGTAAGATCCCAGGTGCTACGGGCCTCATTTTGTTAACGCAGGGGGATTCTGTTAAAGATTGTAAAGTGGCTATGTTTCCGGGCTTCATAGAATCTGCAAATGTGTATCGTTACGCGCAATGGGGAGGCTAGAAGCCGGGAACATGTATAATGTGTGAACCTCTGTGCTTAAGGGCTCCGTGAGGGGAGAAACCGTGCCGCCTGTAAAGGACGGACTTATAACTGGGAGCATTGGAACTCTGCTCCAATTAAACTTTGTTTTTAGAGGATCTGCTTGAAACAAGCACCTAGCTTCCGCTCTCGGCAGCCTGCAGATATGAGAAGCCACAGCTGAACAGAGAAAAAGCACTCAGTCAGCTGAGCAACAACAGACAAGCAGGATGTGGTGACATCACCCCTACCCCTACTAGTTCTGTTGAGAAGGGAGAGTCCTGAACTAACAGCTCCGTATGATTCTGACCTGACAGACGCTACACTAATGCGTAAGCATTTTTAACCTTGCCACATATGGTGTTGTTGGCAGGA